ACGGTTTTATGCGTGGTACGGTAGACATTTCCCGCCTGAACTTTGGGGTTCTCTCTTTGATCCCCAAGGTCCCGGGTGCGGATCACATTAGACTTTTTCGTCCTATTGCCTTAATTAACGTCCCGTTTAAAATTTGTGCTAAGGCTTGTTCTACTCGCATGTCTCCGATAGTCCACCGCATTATTAGTAGAACCCAGTCCGCGTTCATTCGGGGCCGTAACATCTTGGAGGGGCCGCTGGTTCTTCAAGAAATTATCCACTCCCTTAAGCGCGCTCGACAGCCAGCGATTCTCCTCAAACTCGATTTTGAGAAGGCGTACGACCGCGTGAACTAGGAGTTCCTCCGACAGGTACTCCTGGACCGAGGTTTCTCGTCGGTTTGGGTTCACCGCATGATGCAGTTGGTCTCGGGAGGCCAAACGGCGATCGTGGTGAACGGAGAAGTAGGGAACTTCTTCCGCAACAAGCGCGGGCTGCGTCAAGGGGACCCAGCGTCGCCGTTGTTTTTTAACTTCGTGGCGGACGCTTTAGGCGCCATGCTAGACAGGGCTCGTCTAGCCGGCCACATTAGGGGTGTCGTGGACAACCTAATCCCTGGAGGAGTGTCCCACTTGCAATACGCGGATGACACTCTTCTTCTTTTCGAGCCCAACACACATAGTATCGCTTCGGTCAAAGCTATACTGTTGTGCTTCGAACTCATGTCGGGACTAAAAATTAACTTCCACAAAAGTGAGGTGGTGTCCATAGGGATGGACGCGGCAGAAAGTCAACGGGTCGCCAACCTGCTTAACTGCAAACTAGGCCAGTTCCCGTTTACTTACCTCGGGCTCCCAATAGCGGCAAAGAAGTGTACAATCGCTGACTGGGAGCCCCTCTCCTCCAAGGTGGCGAATAGGGTTTGCCCGTGGAGGGGCCGTTTTATGTCTTCAGGGGCAAGACTAATCCTTACCAATACCAGCCTCTCATCTTTGCCCATGTTTGCCATGGGTCTGTTCTTGCTGGCGGACGGGGTACACTCTAAGTTTGACACACCGCGGTCCCGTTTCTTTTGGGAAGGAGCGGGACCAAAACGAAAATACCATATGGTCAAATGGCAAGCCGTGTGTCGTCCCAAAACCCAGCGGGGTCTTCGGATCATCAACTCCAAGTTGATGAACATCGCACTAATGTGCAAGTGGATCTGGAAAATGACTCAGGGTGAGACTGGCCTCTGGATCGACCTCCTCCGGGCAAAATATTTCCCGCGAGGGGATTTTTTTGACGCGGCTCCCAGTGGGTCTCCTTTCTGGAATTCCATTCAATCCCTTAAACCCCTCTTTGCCAGGGGCGCAAAGTTTGCGGTTAACAACGGACGCTCTACGCGTCTCTGGCTTGATCATTGGATTGGCCAGCGCCCATTATGGGCGGAGTTTCGACAACTATACTCCTTAGCGGTCGAACCGAGCAACGGGTTGCCTCGGCTCTTAGCACCTCCCCCCCCCCCTGTATTAACTTCAGACGTGAGCTAATCGGGCCAGAGTTGGCAGATTGGGACCGCCTTCTGGCGCTACTTGCGGACGTCCGATTGTCGGAATCCGCGGACCTGATCTCGTGGAGACTTGCGAGCTCCGGCAAATTCTCTGTCAAATCCATGTACAGAGAGCTATGCCACGGTCAGATCCCGTCGGCGGCCATGGGGCTTTGGAAGGCAAAGATCCCGCTCAAAATTAAGGTCTTCCTTTGGCAACTTTGTCAAGATCGCCTTCCTACCTCTATTAACCTCGCTAAACGCAACGGCCCCGCCTCTGGCTCCTGTGCGCTGTGTGGGGTCCCGGAAGATGCTGACCACACCTTCTTCCTTTGCTCCCTGGCTCGTTTCGCTTGGAGCGCGGTCCGGGAGGCCGCGGGAGTGGATTGGGATCCACGCTCCCGACCTGAGGTCGTGTCTTCCTTATCTGGGTTTCAAGGCGCGTCTCGTAGGGTCATGTGGACTTGTGCGGCGGCTATGCTATGGGCTATTTGGAATACCCGTAACAAGTTTACTATTGAGGGGGTGTTCCCTTCGCATCCCGCTGACGTTATCTTCAAATGCATCGTTTTCTTGCAGCAATGGGCATCGCTGGGAAGACAACAGGACTCTGATCTCCACCGCCAAGCTATCTGTCGTCTCCACGCCGTCTACTCTGAGGCTCGAGCTCCGTCGCCTGCTCAACTGGTTGCCGCATAGGGATGGGCAACCCCCTTTTGGTCTTAGTAGCTTCCGAGCTTACGTGCTCGCTGCTTTTGGGCCGTTCTCCGCCTTGTAACGCAACTTTGCGCTCATTTAGCGGCCTATCCTCTTAACTGTCGTGTTAGTTTATGTTGTCCTGTTTTGTTCGGTGGTTGTGATACTCTGCCTAAGTTTTGTGGGCTTTATTAATTTAAAGCCGGACGTCTCTGACGTCTATGTTCTAAAAAAAAACTTTGGCCAAAGCCGGTACGACGTATTCCGACGAGATAATGTGGTTCGTGCCTGTGCCGGAATCGATGAAACCAGCGTCGGGAGCATATGAGAGCTTGGTGGTGTTGTCCATGTAGCCCATCTCCTCCGAGAGACCAGAATCTATGGTTATGAATCCTGCATTGCACGGCAGCCGGTACGCGATCAGTCCATCCGTTGTGATTTATGGCCACATGCTATAATAGTATTGCACGAAACATTGAACGAGCATGCGTACTTACCTTTGTTGTCAGGCTGAGCGCGAGCTTGGGGTACGCCGGCGGCCGCAGTGATCCAGAGAAGAAGCGGCAACCACAGCGTCATCGCCATTGTTCACTGGGTTGGTTGCTCCGTTGCACATGCAAGCAACTAATGGACCGTGATATATGGCGGACATTGTTTGTCAAAAGATAATATATGTTATGTTGCTGAAAGTATATGTGTTTTATACTATAGGCGCTCCATCCATATCTCAATGTACATGCATGCACCTACAATAGACTACTCCCTCTATTCCTAAATATAAGTCTTTTTAGAGATTTCAACATGGACTACATACGGATGTATATAGACAAATTTTAGAGTGTAGATTCACCCATTTTGCTCCATATGTAGTCCACATTGGAATCTCTAAAAAGACTTATATTTAGGAACGGAGGGAGTATATAAAACTGTACTCGATCAACAACTAATAAGTGTACTAATGTCTAAAGCCTCAATACAACATTGATTATCACACAACTTGCATGGAGCGGTAAGTGGCTGACCGGTGGGCCCTTTTCTAGCCTAGGCTGGCCACTTGGTTTAGGAAAGAGTGAATAATATGGGTGGGTAGTTGACTTTCCTTCGAATGGGTCAACGTCATTGTTGGCCACAAACTTGGTGGGGCTCGGTCGTGCCCCCTTCTTTGCCCTGACATCTCTGCAGGCAGAGCCTGAAATTGATCGCAGGAGATTTCGACGAAGCTCGATGTGGGAGAAACGAATGAAGACTGGCGGGAAAGAAGTCTATCTATCTGCATAGCTTTGGTGGACTTCTAACGAACCATGAGCACATGAAGATTTTGATCTTGTTCCGAAGAGACAAGGACCACACTCCGAATTTTGATCCCAGTTATGTTGTCCATCTTTGCTAGTATCTTTCAGCTAGCTGATTTTTGTTCGGCATCATTCAAATTTTTTGTCCATTCCATCAAATCAAACTCGCATGCATCATCTGACTGATACCGGAAAGTAAATTAGCAAGACGTTGATTAGGTACCTTTTTCTTGAAAATAAGGACCTCGAGTCCAAGTCCCGACCACTCTCGGTTTGGATCCATCCAATCAAACTGATCAATTCATGTTCTTGAGACGAAAACAGGGAAGATAGAGGATCAAAGAGGTGCCAGTACGCCACCTTCTCGCCGCTCTTACCCTCAGCCGGCCGCTCTCCACGTTGCTGCCTCGCCACCGCTCCATGCCTAGTGCCACCTAAGGTGGGAGAGCTAGTCAAAAGGTTCAGGGGGGCCAACGGGAAATCATGAAAATCTGAGGGGGCCAACAACTATTTTTCTCTAAATCTATGCCTCCTTAGAAAAAACAGTTTTGCTAGAACTCATCTAAATGAGATATAATTTGGTCCCATTCACGACCAAATTATATCTCATCTAGATGAGTTCTAGGTACTCCCTAGAAAAAATTTCTTCACAAATATTTCAAAGTTGGGGTGTGGGGCACCGTTTGCATGCGCGAGGGGCCACGCCAAACCAACACGCTCCCGGATAACTCCAACCCACTACGGCACATGCATAGAGTATTACTCCCTCCTTCCCAAAATGTAAGGCGCGGTTTGACTTTTCTGGTCTTCGTTACATAACTTTGACTACGATTTTCATGTATTCTATGTCTATAAAATTAGTATACATACATATGAAATAAAATTGTTCTGCAAGACAAATACGATGATGCCATTTATACATGTTCAATCCATATACATTGATATATATTAGTGGTCAAAGTCGTGCATCAAAGACCGTAAAAAGTCAAGCGCGCCTTATATTTTGGGAAGGAGGGAGTACTAGTTTCCGCCGTTAATCAAAGCTAATGCAAGCTGTACAATGTCACAGAATCGAATGTCAAAAGGCACGAAGCATAGGATAGTCACAGACATCGCTGGCATGTGAACTGTCCATCGTGACAACCGCTCATGAAGAAGTCAGAAAAGCCAAAAGTCTACGGCCAATTGATCACAGCAGCTATGCACGTGTTGCGGCGCACCGGTGAGAGGCGGTTGACCGACTAGCACATGCAAGTCAACCCATCGCCCATGTGATCTGCTCATCTCTGCATGCCCAAACTTAATAAGCTTGGAGCACTATTTTCAAAGGAACCGTGTAAGCTCATATGAACAGCTTGGCATGTGCACATGTGATGTTACACTAATTAATCCTACGTATGAGCGAGTTGCATGTTCTGGTTGCATGCTCCTGCATGCCTACCCCAACCGGGTATGCTAGTTCTACAAGTACTGGTTAACTGCTGGCCGGCTCTGTGCCTGTGATGGATCAAGGATCGCCGACGAGAGCAAAAGCAATGGCGACCCGGTGGCTCTTGCTTCTACTCAGTATGGCCGCGAGCATCGACAAGTTAGCTGGTGATCTTCTGGTTCTGTATGTCGCTAGGCCACTATGTTTTTTCGATAAACACTAGGCCACTAATAGCATTGTAGTACTAGTAACTGTTTCATCAAATCAATCTCTGCAACTGTTTACTGTGTACACGCAGGTTTTATAAGCATAGACTGTGGCCTGCCGGCGAATGCCGTCGGCTACGTGGACAACACGACGAAGCTGCGGTTCACCGGCGACGCTGGTTTTACCGACGCAGGCAGTAACCATAACATCTCTGCCCAGTACATCACCCCGACGATGCCCTGGGGCTGGCACACCGTCCGCAGCTTCCCCACCGGCGCACGCAACTGCTACACGCTCCGGCCACTCGTGTCGGCAGGGCCCAAGTATCTCGTCCGCGCCATGTTCAAGTACGGCAATTACGACGGTCTTGACATGCTTCCCATCTTCGACCTCCACCTCGGGGTTAACTATTGGAAGACGGTGAACATCTCAGATGCAAGCTCACCGACGATTGAGGAAGTCGTCGTTGTGGTCCCTGGCGGTTCCGTGCAGGTGTGCCTCGTGAATACTGGCTCAGGGACGCCGTTTATCTCCAGCCTAAACCTGAGTCCCCACAAGAGCGAGCTCTACCCGCAGGTCAATGAGACGCAAGGGCTCGTTCTTGTCACCAGGACCAACTTTGGAACTCCCAAGAATGTCAGGTAAGCACCGTTGATGTCAAAAATCATGCATACATCTTTTTCATATGTCGTCGTAGGCATTCTTTTTTCATAATGGACGAATACCCAGAACACTATATCCGGCGAAGATTTTGCCTCCAGGTTTACCCACTTGGTTGACTGCGACGTGAGGGTAAACGGGCCACGGCCACGCGTATTTTTTTGGGCTCCTGGTGTGTAAATTTCCCTGGTGACTGTAGGTCTTCGCTTCTAATTTTCGTAACGTGGTTTGGGTGATTGTGTGTGCCTATAGCCATTTCCGTTTTTTGTAAGCCATGCCGATACGTTGACTAGATTGTGTATCTTTTCTTTCCTGTGTGCATGTACGCGTGGGCCTTCATGAGTTGGGCTCTCCGCTTGCGTGCTCCTGTCTTTGCGAGCCACCTTTGCTTGCATGCGCTATCAAGATCGGCGCCGCTTCCATCGTCTAATCTAGAATTGCCGCCCGCGGCACTCGGCGCCACTTGCAGCGTCTAATCCAGAGACCCGTCGTTAGCCGTGTCGTGATCATTTTGGTTTCCTCTTTCTGCTTTCCGTAATGGTCCACAGCGTCCAGGTCGACCTTCCAGGGTGCGTGCCGCTGTGGTTGGTCGGCGTCGTGCCCTCCCGTCGAACATGGCGCCAGCGCTGCCGGTGGAGAGCCTGGGTTCTATCCTAGCAACCGACATCCACGTCGTCGTCGGATGCGCTATGGCGGCGAGCGTCCCACACGGGAAGCTGCATGAGGGAGGTGCATGCAGACCATGCCGATGACCAAGAGCACAGTCTTCATCATGGACCGCAACCACGGCGATGTCCGCATCGTAATCGGCTGTCCTCTGATGGTGAACAGCTCACAGGAAGGTGCACGGAGGGAGCTGCGCGTAGACCATGGCGGCGGCCATGAACACGGCAGTGTTGGGCTTGCGTGTGTGGTGTGTCAGGCTGCCTCCGTCGGATACTACCGACCCCAACGAACGCGCTTGGCTGAATGCAGATGCGGCAGCGCAGCTACCCGAGTCGACGGTGGCGTACTTCTTTGATGACGGCAACGCCTCGCGCAAGAGCGGCCGTGAGTACGAGGATGCCGGCCATCGCTGCCGCGCTCGCGACTTTGACGTCTAACTTCTGTTCGCAGATGGCAGGTACAGTGTCGTCACCTGTTCCATTGTATTTCTTTTGCGGCCGTCTTTATATCGTGAAGCTAATCGGTGCTTCGATCACAGCTTTGTCGTTCTGCAGACGTGCTTGGCGCGTCGACGAGCTGGGCCAGCTGATGTCTCTGACGGAAGACGTTGCATCTCGGACTGGACTTTCCTTCACTGCATGCATGTCAGGGCCGGGGCCGGAGCACGTGCGCGCTAACGCAGGGGCGATGAGAGGGACATCTCTCCCATGTTTCTTCGTCGAGGCGATGCCTCAGGAGCCCAGTAAGGAGAGCAGGCATTCATGGAGGGACAATCTCTCGATCCTCCCTCTTCTTCCACTCCTCTCCCAGATTGAGCGTTGATCTGGAGCATCTCGGCTCTACGCGTTGAGGGGCGCCGTGCCGTTGTGGCCTGCTTTGTCTCACTGTGCAGTTCGGCCGTTCCGTTGCTATCCGGTAGAGACATAGAGGGGTGTGTTGGCACAGACCCGACCTTGACGACGCTGTTGTCGAGTACTTTCCGACAATATGTAGCGGCGTACAAGCTACAGCCGATTACTTTCGGCTGCTTCGACGGAGACGAGCACACGCACGTACAAGTCTAAAGCTAGCAAGCACACGAGGACACAGGAGACGTGAGCGATGGCTAAAGGCCCGTGTCGAGCCTTTACTTTTTATTGCTTTGATCGATCTGGTCTGATTACACGGGGTACAGCAGTATATATATTAGCTAAGCTAGTCCTACTAGTCCTAGTCCTAGTCCAAATACAAATCCTACTTGGTGACTGTACCAAGTCCGTACCGGACTGATCACACTACGTGGTTGATTCCAACAATCACCTCCCCAACCACGATGTCTTCACTTCACAGCTTGAACGCTGATCCTTTCCCGCATCTCCGTGAACTTCGGTCGTCCCAAAGACTTGGTCAGGATATCTGCAAGCTGATCGTTGGTGCAAATGTAGTTGACTTCAATCTTGCCTTCTTCCACGCAATCTCGTATGTAGTGATACATTATATCAATGTGCTTACTTCTATCATGATGCACTGGATTCTTACATAGAGCAATCGTGGACTTGTTGTCAACATATAGCACCACTCCTTCCGGTTCCTTATCAGTGAGGTCACCGAGTAGCCTTTCTAGCCACACACCTTGACCCGCCGCGGTTGCAGCTGCAATATACTCCGCTTCACAAGATGATAATGCGACCACCTTCTGCTTTTGTGATAGACAACTCACAATGCTTCTTCCCAAGAAATATGCCACGCCCGAGGTACTTTTACGGTCGTCAATATCTCCTGCCAAGTCGCTATCACAGTAGCCAAGTAGCTCCACCATCTCCTTCCGCTTTTCTCTCAAATAGACACAACCGAAGTTAGTTGTCCCTTTGATGTACCTGAGTATTTGTTTCACAACTGCCTAATGTTCTGTCTTGGGTGCTTCCATGAAGCGACTCACTACGCCAACGGAATAGGCCAAGTTTGGTCGTGTATTCACAAGATACCTTAGGCTTCCGACCACACTTCTATACTCCGTTGCATCAACCACGGGTGCTTGGCTCCTCTTGCTAAGTTTAAGTCGAGGCTCCATTGGAACATGACTTGGATTGCAGTCCTCCATGCTACAGCTTTCAAGAATCTTCTTTGCATATGCGTCCTGGCATAGTGTGATTTCCTCCGGCTTTTGATGTACCTCGATCCCGAGATAGTAAGTCAAGAGCCCTAGATCACTCATCTTGAAAAGCTCCTTCATTTGTAGCTTGAACCTAGCAATCTCCTCCTCATCTGTAGTTAGCAAGAGATCATCAACATAAATGGCCACTAGGAGACGATCCTTGCCTTTACCTCGCTTGTACATAGCATGCTCCAGTGGACTCTTCTCAAAACCAAGAAAAACTAGTGTACGATCAAGCTTGATGTTCCATGCCCGAGGAGCTTGGCATAGCCCGTACAATGCCTTGTATAGTCTCAACACCTTGTGCTCCTCTCCCTTTTTGATGTAACCCGGTGATTGCTTCACATATACTTCTTCTTTTAACTCCCCGTTTAAAAATGCGGATTTTATATTCATGTGATGTAACCTTCAAGATTCTTGAGCCACGAGAGCTATAACTAGCCTCACCTATTCCATCCTTGTGACAGGAGCGAACACTTCCTCTAAGTCTACACCTTGCTCTTGCACGTATCCTTTCGCTACGAGCCTTGCCTTATGCTTCACCAAGTTTCCTTCGGCATCTTTCTTGACTTTGTACACCCACTTGAGCTCTATGATTTTATGGTCGTTGGGTGGATTCACGAGCTCCCATGTTTTGTTGTCTTGGATTGATCCCAACTCCTCGTCCATAGCACGACGCCAACACTCCTCCGTGTTTGCATCTTCAAATTTTGTCGGTTCCTCGACGCTAAGAAGACACCGCCGTCCTCTTCCTTTAATTTTCACAGGATTTACTTTTGAAAGTGCTTCCTTTGGATATAATTCCACCACTGGTCGAAGACGTACTCGTGTCGGCGGACGTTTCCTTCTCTCCTGTTCAGTCGAAGACGAAGTAATATCATCTGGAGTTGCCAAACTCCCGATTTCTGGCGATTGGAGCACTCCTGGACTGGCTGTGCGTCCACCAGATGAACCAGTTGAGATCGGTGTTCCTTCTACTCGTACAGGAGAACCAACCAGCTCATGTGCACCACGTGGGCTTCCCAGGCTGGTTGATGAGCCACCTGGGCTTTGAGGTGGACAGACTCCTGATGGGCTTCGTTCAGTGTCTCCATGCATATGTGAGCCACCAGGTCGAGCGCCGCTGGCGCTGCCTGGCGTGTCTTCAGGCGCACCAGCCGGTCCTTCTTGCTCGTGCGCGTGTGACGCAGCGGGAGTAGCTGGCGCGTCTCCATTTTCTGCCGCGCCGTCCGCGCCATTTGTCGCGGCCGACCTCTCCGGTTGATTACCAATGTTTGTATGCTCGTAATCATCGTAAACAACGTTGAAAATATCATCGGAAGACGGGTATACCGGCTCGGTGGAGTTCCAATTCCATGACCTTGCTTCTTCAAAGACCACGTCGCGCGTCATAATCACCTTATTTGTTGAGGGGTTGCACACACAGTACGCCTTCGTGCCTTTTTCGTAGCCAACCAACACCATTGGAGTACTCCGATCCGCCAATTTGCTAGTATGCCCACCCACCGTTTTCACATGCGCCACGCACCCAAAAGTGTGAAGATGATCAACTGTGGGCTTGTGTCCGTACCATGCTTCGTACGGCGTCATCCCAACCACACTCTTGGTTGGAGCCCGGTTCAGCAAATAAACGGTCGTATTGACCGCCTCACCCCAAAACTTGTCCGGCATGCCTTTACTCTTCAACATGCTTCGTGCCATTGCCACCACGGTTTGGTTCCTCCGTTCCACAACACCATTTTGCTGCGGTGAATATGGTGCCGTAAGATACCTCTTGATCCCTTGAGCCTCGCAAAATTCCGTGAATGCACGAGACTTGAACTCCCCCCCCCCCCCGATCGGTACGGAGGGCCTTCAACTTGGCTTCAGATTCTACTTCAGCCGCCATCTTTATTATCCTGAAGGCTTGCAAAGCTTGGTCCTTCGTCTTCAACAACACGATCCACATGAATCTGCTGAAGTCGTCGACGACGAGCAAGAAGTATCTGTTTCCGGCAGGGGTTGTCGGTGTAATCGGTCCGCACAAGTCTCCGTGGACCAACTCAAGAGCTTTGCTCGCTCTAAAGTTTCCCTCTCTTGGGAACGGGGCTCACCTTTGTTTCCCAATGAGACAACCGTCGCACACTTGGTCGACATGATTGATGCACGGTAGACCACTTACCATCTCCTTTTGTCCAAGTTGCCG